TATCTAAAAGGGTGTCATAAGGAGGAGGGAGAAAACTTCTTCATCTTGGTCTCTGAGGATAGAACAAGAAGCAATGGGCTTAAACTGCAGCAAGGGAGGTTTAGGTTGGACATTAGGAAAAAGTTCCTAACTGTCAGGGTGGTCAAACACTGGAATAAATTGCTCAGGAAGGCTGTGTCCAGAAGGCTGTGTCCCGAAAAAACTTCCCCTGCGTCCAGACTCAAGCCGCGTTCTTTCGATATTATTTCGAAAGAACGCGGCTTTTCTTTCGATGGCGGTAAACCTCGTTTCACGAGGAAGAACGCCTTCTTTCGAAAGCTCCTCTTTCGAAAGAAGGCGTTCTTCAATGTAAATAGGGCTTCTTCAAAAGAGAGCATCCAGACTCGCTGGGTGCTCTCTTTCGAAAAAGCGGATTTCTCTTCCGAAAGATCCGCCTGCAGTCTAGACGCGATCTTTCGAAAGAGGCTCTTTCGAAAGATGCTTTCGAAAGAGGCTCTTTCGAAAGAAGCCTGCAGTCTAGACATAGGCGAAGGTTGTAGAATCCCCATCTCTGGAGATATTTAAGAGAAGGTAAGATAAATGTCTATCAGGGATGGTCTAGACAGTATTTGGTCTTGCCATGAGGGCAGGGAGTGGACTCGATGACCACTCGAGGTCCCTTCCAGTCCTAGTATTCTATGATTCAGTACAGTCCCAAGTAATGGATCTAGTGATGCATGGAACATCTCTACAGAACTCTCAGGTCTCATCTGACTTTGTCCCCTACATGTCCAGGAGAATGGAGTTATCAACCCATTCGGGGTGCTTGTTGTGCAGAATGCCTGTCATTATTCCAAAAATACTGAGACAACAGATGTTAAAGCAGCTGCATTCAGGTCACTGTGGAATGGTGCGCATGAAAGAAATTGCTCGAAGCTATTTTTGGTGGCCTGGCTTGGACAGTGACATTGAAGAAAAGGCAAGAGCTTGTATTTCTTGCCAGGGTGTGAGGAATGCACCTCAATTGGCACCTCTACACCCATGGGACTGGCCTGAAAAACCATGGCAACGTATTCATGTTGATTTTGCTGGCCCATTTGAAGGTAGCATGTTATTAGTGGTGGTAGATGATCATTCCAAATGGCCAGAAGTCTGTATAATGCCTTCCACTACTGCTGAGAGCACTATCCAAAAATTACGGGGAATCTTCTGTCATTTGGGTATTCCTGAACAACTTGTGAGTGACAACGGTCTACAGTTTGTCTCTCAGGAGTTTGGAAATTTTATGAAAGCAAACGGGATCCATCACATCACTTCAGCACCCTATCACCCAGCCACAAATGGATTGGCTAAAAGGTTTGTCCAGACAATGAAACAAGCTTTGAAATCGGTTAGAGGACATTCACTCGTACAAAAGAGTCTGGACACCTTCTTACTATCCTACAGAAACACTCCTCATGCTACAACCAAAGTGTCCACGGCTTTTCTAATGATGGGACGTCAGCTGCGCACATGCTTTGATTTGCTGAAACCTTCAGAACCGCGACAAATTGTGCAACATCAGCAGCAAGGTCAAGTCATCAGGCATGCATCCAGAGCAAAAGACTGAACCTTTAGTCCTGGACAGCCAGTTTTGGCTTGGAACTATGCTCCTGGATCTAAACGGGTCCCTGCCACTATTACTGCTCAAACAGGACCTGTTTCCTATACTGTCCAGACTGCGAAGGATCTCATCTGGCGGCGGCATGTAGATCAGTTATTGACAGGTTATTCCTGCCCCCAAGGCACATCTCCAGTTGAGTTGCCCGTCCTTCCCACTGCTGGTGAGCTACCATGTCAAGAATCACCTGCTCCTGACTCTCCTCCTCCATCACCACCAGCGGCAAACATAAACCCCCTCCCTGAGCAGGCTGATACAACAGCCTCACCTGTTCACACTTCAAGTTCCCAGCCCCGTGTCAGGCCTGCACCCATAACATCTTTGGGTGTGAGAACGCCAGATGTCCGCCGTAATCCACCTAGAGAAAGGAGGCCTCCTCAACGGCTGGACCATTAGTTGAGATTAACTCACAGATGGGGCAAAATAATCTCCAGGGTTAGCTGGGAACTTGAGGTGTTCTACCCTCATTTCATAGTTAGTTTTTGTTTTCTTAAAGGGACATTTTTATTAAGGAGGGAGGAATATGTTGTGTATTGGGTTGTAGATATAAATCTTGTTGTTATAGTAACTGAGTAGGTCACTGGGGTCAGCCCAGCTAATCTGGGCTTATTCTAGTTAGTTCTGTGCTATGCAATGAAATGGACACTTGCAACTACTCCAGCTCTCTGCATTTCCACTGATTTCTTCCTATACTGTGAAATTCCTCACGACATAACAAAATATATTTTGTTTATGGAAAAAAAAAGAGAGAGCCCAGACATACATGATATTATCAGAATACCGTTCACTATGCTTTAAGAACTTTTGAATAGGTGCTGATTGACAGCCCTAGAAACCGGGGAACTAGGATGACAACAATGTAAGTTTCTTCATGCTATACCTAAACCCTGATCTGGGAGCAAGGGACATCATTGGGCAAAAAGTGATAGTGTCAGCTGCTTGATAATTTCAGTTTTGGCTTTTCTCTGTTGAGATTAGCTCGTTGACTATTTTTTATTATGTGGATAGGGTTGCCAGCTGTCTGGTTTTGAACCAGATAGTCCAGTATTTGAGCTTTCTGTTCGGGAAACAAATTGAGAAAATATAAATGTCCGGTATTTTCTAAATAGGATGTAATGTAGATTGTGATGTAATGTCAAGTGTATCCCATATTTTTGTTGAAACCATCTGACAACCCTATATGTGGAACCTGTCTACTAGGATTTGTATTGAAATCACCTGCTCGTTTCACAAAGATTATCAGGTGGCACTTTTTTTCCAGTCACCACCAATCTAAAAGTGAATGGCTCTCTATCAAACTAGTCCCTGAGCTGTCCAGTTTCCCTGCTTTGATATCATTTTTATTTATGTTCCGTGTTTCAGCTGAAGAATAGGGAATAGAAGGGGGAAAAATCTACTGAGGCTTACTTGTGGCTATGTTATTTCACAGTGCTGCAAGGTAGAAAAAGAAAGAAAATGTAGAGAAGTTTAAAGGACACCATCACCTTTTAGAAGCTTATTATCCCTTCCTTTTCCAGTTAGAGCACTGTCTATTATATATCACATCGAAAATTAAATTTATGAAGCAAGCCCCTTACCGTTTTACAGGTGCTTTCTGGGGTTTCCACACAAATACGAAGTTTACAGTGTAGGTAAACCACAGAGTCATTGACAAAGGAAAAGATTTTCAGCTTAAACTGAGCTTTTCTTGAATTTCCATTTTCAATTATGGTGGTATAGGTCTGTGAGACTGGGCAGCTAAAAGGGAATAAGAAGACACACAAAATAACTAAAGCTATAGAAGCTATACCCCAGTAGTGGCATTGTGTAGTTCCATTTATAAGCATGTTCTGAAAATCCTTACCTAGATAATCCATATAGTTAGCCTGACCATAGGACAGAAGAGCATTGCACACTAAAGCCCTGGCTGCTAAATACACGAGTGACCTATTTTGTGAAATTCTTCAACCTCATCATTGGAGAAAAACAAAAACAAATTGATGTCTGAGATTACTGAAGACAGGAGATGGACTGGGTGACACACAAGATCAGCGACACTCTAATTTTTCTCCATCCACGTACAGAATAAAATGTGTTATATGCACCAAGGCATGAGCATATGTGCACCACCAGTAGAAACACACGCTGCAGCTGTGGGCACTTTGCTAATCAGCTGGGTGTCATTTGAATCTCTCCTGGGTGGCCACCCAAGCACACAACTTACAGGGAACACTGCACAACACTGAATATCTTACACATGATACAGTAATTTGACATAGTAAACTAATGACCAGTCATGCCCAGAGCACCATTTGAGGACTCAAATATCTGGCCACATGAAAGAATGAATTCTGCCTTTTGGAAGGATGGTACTGGTGAACCATCCCATTTTTCAGAAATTAAACAGGATTTGTTAATATTTTCTTTTCAACTCCTAGAGCGAGGTGCTACTTGGAAAAATATACCATTTTGTAAAAATATACCATTGGTTCTCCATCTTTGTCATCTG